TTGCTGCCCTCACTGAAATGAGTAATACTACAACCCATTCTCTTCACCTCACACCAATAACTTTGAGTTAAGCCCAGACAACCCCAAGTTCAACCATAAGCATCTCGTCTTTGCTGCACCTGAACGGACCTATTCATTTCCCCTCCAAACCCCCAAAACTTGTTAAATAATCTACGATAATGTCAGTTTGCTCTAGACCAGTTCCCTATACTACATCCTCAACCTATAGTGTTCCCAAAAAACACTATTTGTTCCTTATAGTAGCTACTGTGAAACTCTTCCATTTCCTTCAAGAGTTTTCCTTACATTATTTGAAAAGAAACCACAACAAACCTAGGAGGAAGTGACCTTGCTATCTTTGGGCTCATGACATCGTAGAAAGGATGAGGCTGAGACCGTAATCTTTAGAGCTTGGGTAGTAGGTTTTACAAAGGTCTGAGAAATACCAGCATGAATGTCACTATGAGAGTTCAGGAAGGAATGAGGATTTCCGAGAGCTGAGGAGCTCCTAAAACTGTAAATCTCATTACGTAACTGCAAATCATTCCAAAGAGGAACCAATGCAGCTCTTTGGTTATTCTGGACAAGAGTCCACTACTAAATATTAAAACTACTAAGTATGCTGTGATTTATGACAAAAAGCAGTGGTCCCTAATTGCCAGCAAGGGCTCACTAAGACTACCGTTTGGGTTTTGACAGAATTACAAGCCTAATAACTCACTAAAGGTAGTAGACATATTGTAGAGAGAAGTCAAATAAGACTCCGTGTGACAATTACAACATCAAGACAGAATATAACCCTACAGACCATGGGTCTCCAAACTGTAAAGGCTTCTGAGATTCCCTTAAAATGAGGTCCCAAAGTGTCACAGGGGATGCCAGAGAGGCATTACACCACATCCAAGACCAATGACTTCCTTCTTGTCTTCCCAGAGCTACTGATATCATATATTCTATAAATGTTCATAGTCTTTTCAATCTTTTTGCTAAACGTTGGACCCTCCTAACCCTGACACCCTCCACCTGATGTGTGCATGTGTCACATGCTGTTACCAAGCACTGATCCTGATGTCACGGAACTTTGGGTCCCCTTATTTTCCATTCCAAACTCCCCTCATTCTCTGTATTTCCTTGTCAACCTAGCTCTAGACCTGAGAGTCACTTTCATTTCTACCTCATCTTCTGACCAGCATTATCCTAAGGTATTTTTAGTTAAAATGAACTCACAGCCAAGTAAAATATCAAATAAGCAATTGTAATCCAAACAGTATCTGGGCTATAGTAGTAAAAGTATTAGAAACTATATGAAACCCCGAAAGAGGCCTGAGAGTCAGCTAAGATTTTTTGCATGGCCAACTGAGTTGAACTGAAAAGCTGACTATTTCATGGAGAGGTGAGAGTCACTGCTAGTAAGTATAAGTATGCAAAACCTTGGAGCCTTGACCAGACAACAGTCATCTAAGCAAACAGCAAAAGATGGGGGGAGGGGGGCCAGTGAATGTTATCTTGGGAGCCTGGTAGATTTAACAAAGGTCTGTTCTCAGGACCCTGTGGTTACACTACCACCAGCATCTACCATCTGAGGACTGCAAGTTCTAAGAGCCTTCTCCCTTTTCTTTCATGCAGAATTTCCTGTCTTTGTTTTCCCCCAAATCTTTTCATTCTACTTGTCTCCTCCACAGTTTTCCTGCTTCTGGTTCTTCCACTTCCTCTGGCTTTTACTCTCTGGCTGTTCCTCAGCCCCTTTCTATCCACTCTAGACTCTCAGTCCAGATCTGTTAGCAAAGAGTTTCTGCCTCCTAGGAAATGATCCTATATCTCCCCTTTCTTGTATCTCCTCCAAACCTTCATAAATTTATTTTCTTTCTGTGAAAGAACTTAAGACGAATTGTTTTGTACTATAGTGGGAGCTCAAAAAGACAGGACATTCATTTCTGATTTCTCCATGTTCCTTCCCAGAGAGTTGAGTTCACAATCCTGTCCATGAGGCAGAAGACCACAGAAGCCTGGGTTCCACATCTACTTCAAGCTACTTCCTAAAAAAACTATCTGTGGTAACTTGGTCAGTGCAATTGTCTGCCCCGTAGTTCTGTTTCATGATCCGGATTGCAGTGTGTGATCCACAGACTGGCCGTGTATGCTGCTGTGCAGGGAGATGGCTGCTGTGCCCAGTGAAGCAGAGGAGCTCGGCTCACAAGCAGAAGACAGCTGGTCTTGTCAGGGTGCTGGAGAGAAAAGCAGTATGCTTGCTGCTTTGCTAGTTATGAATTTCTCACAATCCCTCCTCCTGGGTTGTGCCCTGAGTTTGAGGAGAACCATAGGCTTCTAACAGTAATTCCCACATGATTTAAATTAGTGCAGGTGAGATTCCATTTCTTAGAACCAAATTATCTCTTTGCCATTTATATCAAGGGCTTCTATTAGTCACAGTTTCCAGAACTGCCTCGAGCTTGCTAACCCTGAGCTTCTCGGGTGGTACAGCACCTTACACATACTTAAGGCTGTTTACTGAACTAAACTTATCCAAAGACGAATCTAACTTTGGACTTAAAGAATTGAGTGAGGACTGAAGGAGCTGAAAGGGTTTGTGGCACCATAAGGAGAGCAACAATACCAACCAACCACAGCTCCCAGGGTCTAAACCACCAGCCTGGGAGCACTTAGGGAGGTATCCAGGGCTTCAGCTGAATACGTAAGAGTGGAGGGCCCTGCTGGGCATAGGTGGAAGATGAGATCCTTGACTTCATGAAGCATGGACGCCCCAGGGGGTGGGAATTTTGAGGGTGGGAAAGTGGGAGTGGGGGGTAGGTAGGGGTTACATCCACAGAGAAGAAGGAGGAGGGGTGAGGGGATAGGGGGTTCCCGGGTGGGTGGGGGATGGGGTAAGAGGACAACATATGAAATGTAAATAAAATATCCAATAAAAAAAATTATAAAAAAAAAGAATTGGTAATGATGTCAAGGGCAGAAGAAGCTCAAGACGAAGGGAAAATGATGAAAGCACAGGGAAGAAATTCAAGAGGATTAGGCACTGTTTATATGGCAGCTGACCATCCCTCCCACCCACTGCAACTACGACCTCATGCTCCTGGTCAAAGCCTGGCAAAGATGAAGGAGGAAACCTAGGCCACTGTAGCACATCATGTGCAGACTGGAAAACAGTGACCTCAGTTCCTAAAGATCAGTAACTGATAGCCAGAACAAAACGGCAGGGGACCACCAACAGCTCAACAGCTGCAGCTCTCACCCTCTGGGCAACAGACGCCATCTGAGAACCTCATTATGGAAAGCTGTCGTGCTTTATTTTATAAGTAAATTTTATCTTTTCACAAAGAATTTTGAAGGCATGGTTTTAGGAAATACAATTTGAATGTCTTTACATTACAAATGCGGACAAATCATAGTTTTTCATCTAGATATGCTAATTGTCAAGCTTTCCTTTGGAAGTTACATAACATGATTATCACTTTAGAATATCCTTTCTTTAGAACCAGTGAATACACTTGCTGTTTCCAAGGCCTGGATCCCTTTGTGGCTGCTGCCGCTGCACTTACCTCAAGCCAAGGGTTCCCGATGAGATAAGGGCTCAGCTGTGCATGGAATATATAAGGTCCTTCAGAAACCCACACCAGGAAGATTTCCTGACTACACCCTTAGACTTGAATACTCAGGAAATGGCCCAATCATGCTTGCATAATGGGATATGGTGGAAAGGCAGATAAAAGACAGCTGGATTTCCTGCTCTGACATGGCAGTTTCCCTTGTCACTGCCCAACAGAGTGTGGCAACACAGTTAACATGGGCAGGTGGCACAACCATCATCAGGCCCTTTGATTTGATGGTAAGAAACTGGCAAAGCCCGTGAGAAGGGCTATTTGGAGAGGCTGATGTCATTCTTTTATAATAAGTTAGACTTTAAAATGATGAGACTACAGCCACATACTTGAGAGCAGAAAAGAAAGCACAATGGTTCCTAAGTGGCTCTGAGACCATAGAAATTGCTCCAGTCTTCACAGAACTGAAAAAGGGGAATGGGGTGAGGTTTCTTAAATTGTATCAGTATGACACATGATCTGGATAGATGGATAGATAGATAGATAGATAGATAGATAGATAGATAGATAGATAGAGACATAAGTAGGTACATACATACATAGATGATACATACATAGACATATACATATATAGTTACATTCATATACATACATATATAAGTATATATGATACATACATGCATCCATACATATATACATAGATGACAAATGCATACATATATACATACATAGATACATAGAAACATACATACATACACACATGGAATGGATAGGTTTGCTTGTTTGTTTGTTTGCTTGCTGAGAAGGGCCTCATCATGTAGCCCTGGCTGTCCTAAAACTCTCTATGTAGCCCAGAATGGCCTAGAGATCCACATGCCTCGATTTTCTCAGTGCTGGAGCTAAATACTAAAGGGTAAAGGGTGAGCCATCATGCCTGGCTTAATACATAAATTTTACTTAGCTGAACTGACTAAGCATTAAGAATGTACAGGTAGAATAAATCTAACAAAAGCAGCACATAGAAGATCGCTATGAATAAGCCCAACACTCAAACACATCTTCATGTTCACATTAAAGCAAAGAAGCCATAGATTTCCTGAATATGGTGGGACTTCTCATATTTTAACATGAGGTCTGAAATTAGAAAACTGACTGTTTAGTACAAGAACTTACCTGTAGTACACAGGTTCCAGTGGTATTTATGACATAGCAGGAAGAAGTCTAGAATGTATTCATATTTTATGCCAAAAATAACGGTGTTTGCCTGCTAAGTCAAGCAGTCTATAGGTGACCTACAGGCAATTTTTAGAAGATCAGGGCCAGACTGTACCAGTACCAAGGCTTTTAGAAAAGAAGTAAGACCTAAAGTACATAAGCTGCTCACCTAAACCCTGCCCACACTGCCTTCATCCTGTGCCCTGCTGTTTTCTGTCAGAGATCACCTACCCCAGGGCAAAATTACAGTCCTCCTTCCAGTCTATGATGCGGCAGATGAACAGTGTGTTGGCATAGTCTTTAGGTCGAGTCATGAAGTCCTGGGGACAGTCCTTGAGAGGTACATAAATTCTAGGTACTCGGTGGTCTGAAGGAGAAAACAGGGCATATTTCTTAAATAGGTCACTGTTCTTATCGGCCAAGAGTTTCAGGATGCCGGTTGCTGCTCTGGAATGCTTTTTCTCCAAGATGTAAACCACCTGAAAACACCAAAGACAAAGTCATTGTTTCTCTAGCTGAGTATCAGTCAGAAAGTCAGCAGGGCATTATCTGATCACTAACAACCTAGCTGCTGTTCACCATGCTGTTCACCATGAAGTGGCTCTCTGTGATACTCAGTAATTAAGTGACCTATATGTAAGTTGCAACAACTTGAGTATTCAGAAAAAGGAAGAAACTATGAGCAGATGAATAAATTAGATAAAGATGCTTTTGATAGCCATGCCCTATGTCTTACAAAGACATGTGCAGCCAAGCAGGAATGGACGTCTCCAAGTATCTGCTCCACCATTAGACTCTTCCCACAAGAACAATGCCAGGATTTCCCAAGAACAAACCAGTAACTGCTTTCTTTAAAGATGTTATTAAACATAGAACATTACTGTTCTCAATTGGGATATGACTTCTATTTCTCTGCTGTCATCTCCTGTTTTCTCAAATGTGTCCAGAGAATGTGTAATGTTTGTTAAAAATCTTTATAATCACTTATAATAACTTGTAATTGGGCTCTTGTTGGATAATCCAATATCTTGGGCATTGACATCAATTGAACATCTTTTCTCATTTAATATAATTGTTTTGGTTCTTGGTATATATAGTTCTTAAGGAGTTTTTCACTGTATTGTGTGGACCTCTAGGCTTTAAGACCTCTAGCCCTTAAAAGAGTCTTTGAGTCCTACTTAAACCTCTCATAGACAGAGGCAGAAATCTTATTCAATTTCAGCATACTTTAGCCTACAGAAATGGACTTCAGTTGTAATGACAACCCTGTTTTCAATGCAATTTTGATAAGTCTGGTTTATATAGTAACACTGGACTCCTGCTTCTGTCTGCTAGTTATTCTGTGAGGTAGAAGATAATCTCCCAGGTTAGGCCAAGTATGAAAAGGATATCTCTGGCCTTCAAGGACAGAGTCTTCCAATTTAGAGTATCTTATCAAACCAGGATCTCCCTTGCTGGTACTACCTGGCTGCTCAGCATCTCTAGGTACAAGAGAGGATTCCCCAGGCCATAGGGACCATAGGCCTGTTGAGGAAGGGCCTTACTAGCCAAAGGCTAAGTCTTCTGGATGAGGAGAAAGGAGTGTTCTGTGTCAGGCTGTCCTTTTCACTGTGGTCTCTGGCAGCCTGGTGCTAGAGGGGGGAAAAGGGAATCCTGAGCCGAGTTTCTTGTAGTGGGGGTCTCTTGAAGCCAGTTAGATGCCTGCTGTCTTTTGGTAGGGAGAGAGGTTAGGGGCCTGAGGTAAAAGGAGAGCCCTTTCCCTTGGACATTTACTCTTCAGGGCTCCTAGTCAATTTCCTTTGCTGGTGCTGCCAGGGTTACCTGGTATTTCTGGAGACTTTCGTGTTAGATCTGAGAGTGAGTCTCCTTGCTCTACCCTCTACTGCTGGGCTAGATTCAAAAACACAGGGTGTGTTACCCTCTGACTTTTTCTAGCTCCAGAGTTCCTAACTAGTTCATCCCCCACTTTCTACTGTTCATAGTTCTCCTCTGAATGCTTCTTATTATATTCTTTCCAGGATTTATAGCTATGCTTAGGAGGAGGAGAAAAACAAGGCCATGCCATAGTGTCTGAACCAGAAGTTTTTGCTTGCACATTTAATTTTTGATACTTCTGAAGCACAGAGAGCAGCTGAGCATTACCTATTATACATCCAATGTCAGCTGCCCTGGGAGTGACACATACATTTTGCTTGGAAGTGCTACTTTTTCCTTATCATTTTAGGTCTAATTCATTATGAAATATTATCCAACAGAGAGAAGAAGAAAAGAGATAAGCATGGTGGAAGGGTGGCAGGAAATTACAGACAAAAGTTCTATGGACAGAGGCAAGGCTTAACTAAAGTCACAGAGGATCATGGCTCAGTGAACTCAGAATTTGATTTGACAAGGCAAGCAAAATGTATAATTTTTATGTAAACATTCCTTGTTTGTTTAATTTAAACTATAAAATAAAAAATTAAATACTGTACAGGTGAGACAAAACAGGTATAGCTTTGTCATATGTATGTTATATATAGTGTATAAATATGTAGTATATAAACATATATACACACACATATGTGTATGTTATATACAATACACAAATGATACAGAGTGATAATTTACACATTCTTCATGCCAAAAACACAGAAGGTAACCAAAGAACTGTGAGGAGAGGAAGGCAACCCTCCCTGCCCGCCCTGCACCCCACCTTACCCCCTCCTCGAACTGGGCTACCCACTCATGATAGCTATTCCCACTTAGCATATCTTAACGTAGTTGTCCCCAAGAATGCCTAGTGAGATGAAGCTCTGGATGACCCGTGAACAACAGCAAGACATACACAATATAACAACTTATAAACTCCCCACGTAGACAGGCAAGAGAGCTACTCTCAGCAAAATGGTTGATGTGCAACCCAGAGTAATACTGACGGATGGATCTGGTACAGGAAGCCTCACTACAATTTCACTTTATCTCTTGTCCTTGCATCACGTGTGCCACCAAGAGTAAGAGCCAACTGTGTTTGGTCCTAACCCGAAGATGCCACTAACATACAAAATCAAGCAAATAAAGACACACTCACATGTTTAAGTTACAGAAATTCCATTCGTTTCTCTAATTTACAGTCTCTACTGACTTTCCATTTAACTGAGCTATTACCATCCTGATGAGCATCCCCAGTGACAAGTAGAGAAAGTAGGTGGGAAAAGACCTTTGCTGACTTCTGGAGTGACTTCTCTGATAAGGCTCTTGTGTCCTGTGATGTGGGTGTGTTCTCATCTTTCATAACTGGAGCACTAGAATCTTCTTTTCCTAAGTCAGAGAAGAAAAAAAGAAGAAGAGTAACTAGTTAGTTCCACGTCCACTGGGCATGCAGAGATCTTTAAATTCATAGTAGGAAGGTTCATGAAGGTCAAGTACTCCACAGCACTTCTTCACAAAAGAAAAATGAACACAGGCAGTTGCTGGGCAGCAGTTTGGATAAGGCCAAACGTGTCATATCTGTGCCTGTGCTGAACATCTGCTCTTAGCAAGCTGCCTTTGACCTATCTAACATACTTACATATTAAATGGCATAAATGCAGAGACCATTAAAATTAAATTGCTCATGAGCCAAAGTGCCAGCAAGTAAAATGTATAGATCTTGTCCACATGACTCCAGCACACAGCAAAGAATGAAAGTGAAAAGCAAGTTCACTGTGTACATCTTGTAAAATAAATTAAATAAAATTAACATAAACCTTTACTTTCTTTTTAATTGGGCATTCTTATAGAGTGCAGGTAAGGGGTTACTCACAAGAACATGAGTGACCAATCAAAAAACTCACATTACCATAAAGTCCTATCCTCTCATGATTGACAACTTCACAGAAGTTAGCTATAGCACAGAATCCCTAAACATTAGCAAACTACTTTGGAAAGTACTTTAGTACCAGCCATAATGAAAAAAGAAATAAACTGTATTGAATGAATGAATGAATGAATGAATGAATGAATGACCGGACCCAATTCTGAATTTCCTAATTTTCAATTCTTATTGACAAGGGCTGTTGCTGTAACTGAGCACTTGCTAAGATGCATAAGGCCCTAGATGCAATCCCCAATACTGCTAGGAAGGAAGAAGATTCTTAGTGGTATCATAAGAATAAAGTGCTTAAAGACCTCTAATCCTAATTTTCTATTCTTAAATATTGCAATGCACATTCACCCAAGAAACTGAAATCGCATCTCCCCAAGGAATCAGTGTCAGGCTTTGTACTAGAAGCATTTCATTAAAAACACCCATGAGCAAAAGCAGCAAATTAAGACTTTGTGAAATTTTAATTTTTTTATTTTCACTTGTTAGATTATATTTTTCTCTGAACAACATTCTTCTCCAGCTATAGCAGATTTTTGATTAACAGGATCCATAATCAATTCACATAGCACCTGCTCCAGGAAGCTAAGAGAGACAGACATGCACTTATCATTTAGATATTTGCAAAGCTCAAATAAATACATAAATCCTTTTTCACAACTGGCTGTCTCTTCTGGGAAAGTTCTGGAACCACTGCTGTGGTCTCAAACTCAGAATGATGAACTGTATGTTTCTGTCTTTGCTGAAATCCACCCACCATAGTGCTACTAAAAGCAGAATTTTCAGTCTTCCAAAAAGGAGAAACAAACTCAACCATGGTAAATGACTTCTCTATCAGTAAAAGCATGGTAACCACTCAAGATCAACTTTTAGCTTAGATCAATAACTCAGAATGAAAAACAAACAAACAAAGAAAAACCACAAAAAAAACCAGTTGTTTTCAGAACATTTTTTTTTTATTGGATGATTTATTTACATTTCCTATGTTGTCCCCTTACCCCATCCCCCACCACCCCCTCGGAACCCCCAATCCCCTCGCCCCTCCTCCTTCTTCTCTGTGGATGTAACCTCTATCTACCCCCCCCCACTCCCACCTCCCCACCCTCAAAATTCCCACCCCCTGGGGCATCCAGCCTTCATGAGGTCAAGGTTCTCTTCTTCCACCTATGCCCAGCAGGGCCCTCCACTTTTACATATTCAGCTGAAGCCCTGGATCCCCCCCTAAGTGCTCCCAGGCTGGTGGTTTAGACCCTGGGAGCTGTGGTTGGTTGGTATTGTTGCTCTCCTCATGGGGCCACAAACCCTTTCAGCTCCTTCAGTCTTCACTCTAACTCCTCTATTGAGAACCCCATGATCAGTTCAATGGCTAGTTGTGAGCATCTGCCTCTGAATATGTCTGACTCTTGAAGGCCTCTGAGGAGATATCCATATCAGGCTCTTATCAGCATGCACTTCCTGTCTTCCACATCAGCATCTACCTTTGGTGATTACACATGGGATAGATACTCAGGTGGAGTGGTCTTGAGACGGCCCCTCCTTCAGTTTCTGTCCCTCACTTTGTCTCCATATTTGCTCCCTTGAGTATTTTGTTGCTCCTTCTAAGAAGGACCGAATCACCCTCACTTGGTCTTCCTTCTTTATGGGCTTCATGTGGCCTGTGAGTTGCATCTTGGGCATTTCAAGGTTCTAGGCTAATATCCAATAATCAGTGAGTGAATACCATGTGTGTTCTTTTGTGATTGGCTTACCTCACTCAAGATGATAATTTCTAGTTCCATCCATTTACCTAGGAACCTCTCGAATTCATTGTTTTTAATAGCTGAGTAATACTCCACTGTGTAAATATACCACATTTTTTGAATCCATTCCTCAGTTGAAGGACATCTGGGTTCTTTCCAGCTCCTGGCTATTATAAATAAGGCTGCTATGAACATAGTTGAGCATATGTCCTTGTTATATGTTCGAGCATCTTCTGGGTATATGCCTAGGAGTGGTATAGCTGGATCCTCGGGTAATGCTATGTCCAATTTTCTGAGGAACCGCCAGACTGATTTCCAAAGTGGTTGCACCATCTTGCAGTCCCACCAACAATGGAGGAGTGTTCCTCTTTCTCCACACCCTCGCCAGCATCTACTATCACCTGAGTTTTTAATCTTAGCCATTCTGACTGGTGTGAGATGGAATCTCAGGGTTGTTTTGATTTGCATTTCCCTGACGACTAAGGATGCTGAACATTTCTTTAGATGCTTCTCGGCCATTCGAGTTTCTTCCGTTGAAAATTCTTTGTTAAGCTCTATACCCCATTTTTTAATAGGGTAATTTGGTTGTCTGGAGTCTAATTTCTTGAGTTCTTTGTATATATTGGATATTAGCCCTCTATCAGATGAAGGATTGGTAAAGATCTTTTCCCAATTTGTTGGTTGTCGTTTTGTCCTATTGACAGTGTCCTTTGCCTTACAGAAACTTTGCAATTTTATGAAGTCCCATTTGTCAATTCTCGATATTAGAGCATATGCCATTGGAGTTCTGTTCAGGAACTTTTCCCCTGTGCCCAAGTATTCGAGGCTTTTCCCCACCTTCTCTTCTATTAGTTTCAGTGTATCTGGTTTTATGTGGAGGTCCTTTATCCACTTAGACTTGAGCTTTGTACAAGGGGATAAGAATGGATCAATTTTCATTCTTCTACATGTTGTCTTCCAGTTGAACCAGCACCATTTGTTGAAAATGCTGTCCTTTTTCCACTGGACAGTTTTAGCTCCTTTGTCAAAGATCAAGTGACCATAGGAGTGTGGGTTCATTTCTGGGTCTTCAATTCTATTCCATTGATCTTCCTGCCTGTCTCTGTACCAATACCAGGTAGTTTTTATCACTATTGCTCTGTAGTACAGCTTGAGGTCAGGGATGGTGATTCCTCCAGAAGTTCTTTTATTGTTGAGAATAGTTTTCGCTATCCTGGGTTTTTTGTTATTCCATATGAATTTGAGAATTTCCTTTTCTAACTCTGTGAAGAATTGAGTTGGGATTTTAATGGGGATTGCATTGAATCTGTAGATTGCTTTTGGCAAGATGGCCATTTTTATTATATTAATCCTGCCAATCCATGAGCATGGGAGATCTTTCCATCTTCTGAGATCTTCTTCAATTTTTTTCTTCAGAGACTTGAAGTTCTTGTCATACAGGTCTTTCACTTGCTTGGTTAGATTCACACCAAGGTATTTTATATTATTTGCAACTATTGTGAAGGGTGTCATTTCCCTAATTTCTTTTTCAGTCTGTTTATCTTTCATGTAGAGGAAGGCTACTGATTTGTTTGAGTTGATTTTATAACCAGCCACTTTGCTGAAGTTGTTCATTAGGTTTAGGTATATTCTTTTGTTTTAGGATGAAATGTTCTATAGATGTCTGTTAAGTCCATTTGGTTCATAACTTCTGTTAATGTCAAAGTGTCTGGGTTTAGTTTCTGTTTCCACGATCTGTCCATTGCTGAGAGTGGGGTGTTGAAATCCCCTACTATTATTGTGTGAGGTGTAATGTGTGTTTTGAGCTTTAGTAAAGTTTCTTTTCTGTGTGTAGGTGCCCTTGCATTTGGAGCATAGATGTTCAGAATTGAGAGTTCACCTTGGTAGATTTTTCCTTTGATGAGGATGAAGTGTCCTAGCCAGAGCAATTAGACAACAAAAAGAAGTCAAAGGGATACAAATAGGAAAGGAAGAAGTCAAAATATCGCTATTTGCAGATGATATGATAGTATACTTAAGTGACCCCCAAACTTCCACCAGAGAACTCCTAAACCTGATTTTCAGAACATTTTTAAAAACTAGTCTGGAAGGAAACACACATACCCGGTGCTGGTTTCTTTTGTAACATTATCTTACCAGTGTTTTCTACAGATTACACAATTCATTGAGAAAAAAAAGGAAGATAAAATTATAATTGCACACTACCTAGATATCTGATATTTAAGTGTTTGGACTTACAAAGTTAACCATCAAGTCAGAGTGGTGGGGAAAAAAAGCTTCCTTCCTTCCTTCCTTCCTTCCTTCCTTTCCTTCCTTCCTTCCTTCTTTCCTTCCTTCCTTCCTTCCTTCTTTCATCCTTTCTTTTTTTCTTTCTTTTATTTCATTGCCTTATCTGTTGTCTTGTGTCTTGGAAAATAGCTGAGGCTGACCTTGAACTTGTGATCTTTCTGCCTCAGCCTCCTGAGAGCTGGGAATTAAAGGCATGTGTAACCATACTCAGCTGAGATCAGTTTTTCCATAACAGCCCAAACCCAGGGCACGTCTCCTTCTGGGATGGCCACCAGACAGATGGCTACATTTTAAGGTGACTATCACTTTAGGTTCCATGCTGACAACAGCAAGCCTCCCAGCCCAGAAGATATGCCAGATTACATCTAAAACGAAAGGCCAAGAACAAAAGTGGGTCTAGGCATGACTTCCTTCCATCATACCTAAAA